GCTGGAGCATGAGAAAACTTGGGCGGCGAGAACCTTCACTTAGCCAGATCTCCTGAGGCGAACTTAGCACTTCGAGCACTGAAGAAACTGTTTCTGACCCAAAACCTCACCAGGGCCGCCGTGCACGCTCCTGTCCTCCAGGGCCTGCTGGATGACACAATCCCACCTTGTTGGGTGACCCAAGGAGACCATTTCACGTGTCAGGGAGGGAGGCGAGGCCCAGTGGGCTCAAATCTGCTATATGACCTTGGGCAACCCTTTCAACCTTCCCAAGTGAAACAGGAGAAGGGGAGTCAGGGGGAATCCAACAGGCACCCAGGTGGGGGTGCACTGTGTGGGCCATGGGCTCGGTCTACCTGTGGCTGGCCCTGGCGGAGGGCAGGTGCTGGCCAGGACCCGGTAGTCTCCTTCCTCAGCGTCTACACCACAGGCATAAGGCAAATGGAGTGGCTCTTGCACAGATGTGCCCCAGCCTCCTCCCAGGTGGTGGTCTTCCAGAAAAGCACTTTCTAGGGTCCTCAGACTTGTTACCACATCTGCTTTCCCCTGCTGCCTCTCTGCTTTGCTCTCAGGGGCTGCTCATTTCCACTTCCCCAGAAAAAGACTAATCTCTCGCGGATGCGACTTGTCACACACAGGTGTGACTCGGTGTCGTGACGGGACCCGTGTTTCCTGGGTCCTCTGTGGCTGCATCCCAATTCCTGATCATCCTGGCAGCTCGGAGCCTCCAGAAGGCTTGTTGCTACATAGCTGAGGCCTTAAGAATGACGACACTTTATGAGTTATGTATTGCTACGTGACACGGGTCAGCAGTTGAAAACAATGAGGATTTCTCATACAGTTTTGCAAAGTCAGGAACCGGGGACTGTCCTGGCTGGGCAGGTCTGGCTTGGAGTCTCTCCTAAGGCTGCAGTCAGGGTGTTGGCTGGGCTGAGGTGATAGAGGTTTCATGCACACACGGTGAGGAGGGGCCCGCTCCCGCTCCTCACCACCTGGGTCTCTCACACCAGTGCAGCTGACTTCCCCAGAGGGAGGGGTTGAGAGACAGAGCTGTGATGTCTTTTATGCTTGAGGCCATTCTCTCGGATGCAAAGACCAACACTGATAAGGGGGTGGGTGTGAGGCCCAGGAGGTATGGCACCGGTCATTACCAAGACATCAGGCATGCACTGTTCCCCACGTTCGCTCCTTCCCTATGTCCTTGGAGATCCCTGGGACGTCAGCTCTGCCAGGGCGGGGAGCGTTGTCTCCAGAAGCACCAGGCACACAGTGGGTGCTCAGTGAACACTGCCTGAGAAGAAGGCAGGAGAGGTTCACACTGTCGGGTGTGGTGGACACTGGGTGGTCCCTCCCCCGGAAACCTCAGTCTCAGTGCTTGGACTCCAGTTCCTGCCTCTTGAGCTCACGTCACTTTGCATGTTGCTTCTTGAACTCTGGAGAGCCTTCCTGCCAAAGCCCCAATGTACCACTATGACTATTACATGGCACGAAACCACTGCCTTGGATGAGGGCGAAGCTGTAGGAGCCATGGCAGCCAGCATGAGCCTCGCGAAGAGACAGGAAGAGGTGTAACCGCTCACAACCACCCAGATCCGGAAGGGTGCTTGCGTAACACACCCTTCCTCTCTGTCCCACAAGCAGAGTGCCACCAGACGAAACCCCACTTCTCTCCTGTGAGCTACAGTGGCGGGGAAGAGTGAGGGTTGCTGAGGAAGGCCTGCGAGTCTGAGCATGCTTGGGGATTGGCTCTGCCTGTGGGGTTGTCTTGGGGAGCAAGCAGAGAGGCCCAGTCACTGGAGGGGTGGCTCAGGGGTCCGGGGGGCAGTCTGGAGATCCACAACCCAACTCCTAAGTAGCATCATCAAGTCTTGCTCAGACTGGGGTTGGGGGGCGGTCAGAGAAAACACTGAAAAATTAGTACAGGCTGCGTGCCACGGCCAGGACCCCCTGCTCTTTGCCACAGAGAAACCTCCATCATTCCTCCAAGCTGCTGAGCTGTGGGAACGGGGTGGTATGGTGACCTGCCAACCTCACATGGTCAGATGGCAGCAGAGGCACTGGGACCAAGCCATGGAGTCCCCATAAGAATTTCTTAAAAAGATGGCAGACTAGAATTTTTCCGTCTTCAAAGCAACATTCAAATGCCTGTCCCCTTATTACAACCCAGCATGGAGCTTGGCTCAGGCCTACACTCTTGCAGGCAGAGGCCCTGTTCTTATCTAGTTAGTGCCACAATTGAAAACAAGCCAAAACATCATGGCCAACAAATTCCAACTTTCCCAAAGCAACACTGAAACGCCTCTCGCCTCACGCAGCCCACCCAGATCCACACCTGCTTCTCATGCACCTGCAGGCTGAATGCCTCCCAACTCCTCCCGGAAGCAGAAGCCCTGCTGTAGCTCCCAGCTACATTCAGGGTATGCACAGTGACGGACAGGGGTCTGCCAGGGTCAGTGGCCAAGGGCCCCCAGTCTTTAGAATAGCCGCCCTCCCTCCCTGAGAGGAAATGGAAGCTTCCACCGTGGGAGCTGTGGCTCCCCGGGCTCCCTCCTGATCCTGTCACCCACAACTGGAAGAGAGCCCTCACCTGGCACCTGGGCGGAGGGGGCCTCAGGGCTGCGACTAGTCAGGGCAAGAGGCAAGAAACAATCCCCCATGTGCTCGTGCTCCAGAATCTTTGTAACCACAGGCCTCCCCTGGGGTCATTCATTCAGCAAAGCTTTACAGCCCTCCTGCTCCACCTTGGGAAGCTCACGGCTCTTCCTGCTGCCTCCCTCTGGCCGCCCTGACCACACCCTGCACCCATATCCTGTCCTGGCACAGAACTGGAGGAGAGAGCCGGGTGGAGGGACGGGGGACAGCTCTCTAGGAGGCACTCAGCTATCTGGGTGGGGAGGAAGCCTCTTGGGCAGCAGGGAGCCCCCTGACCACCCCTGCGCTCCTCTCCTGCCCGATGACCACAGTGGGCCAGGTGGGGAGGGGCTTCAATGGGTCCTCCAGCTACCCCTCTGCTTCGCCCTGCACTCAGCTCTGCAGGAGGGAGGAGGGGTAGGGACCCATTTGTTTAAGGCAGGGACCCTCACGTCTGCCTGTGAACCTACTTTCCATTCAGAGACGGGAAATCCCTGGCCAGGGGTTCAGGGGACAGCAGATGGGCAGGGATCCCTCCAGGAGCTGGCAGGGGTTGCTCGACAGTTGGCACATCCTCCCACCCCCCACCGGCAGGATAGAGGTGGCCCCACAGTCCTTCTGATCTCCAGGCAGCTCCTGTCTTGTTGCCCCAGGGATGAAAGTGGACGCCAGCAGCTCCTGCAGAACCGTGACAGCTCTGCTGGGTGCCGCCCGCTATGCCTCACCCGCCCGCCCCAGCAGCTGCTGGGTTTTGTGGGGGACCTGCCGTGTCCCTGAGCGAGGAGGATGCCTGCGGCTGCTCGGCTGAGCTGCTGCGACAGACGGCCACGTGGGCTCTGCCTGGGTGCAGCCAGGTGTCTGCAGGGAGGGCCCCCTGCCAGCAGCAGCCAGTCCCGTGCAGGCAGGGGGGCCCCAGCTGTCAGGGGAGCTCTAAGCCCTGCTCAGGTTGCCGGGGTGCCCATCTCCTCCAGCACAAAACCCATTCAGAGAACAGGACCCCCAAAAGACCCCAGGTACCTGCTCCTAAGACAAGGCCATTTGGGCCTGTGTGAGGTGGAAGGCGAGGCGCGGGACCACAGGCGGAGCAGGAAGTTGGTGGCAGCCCTTGTGGGAGGATGCCTGGCGGGCCGCCCGGACGCGCTGGGGTGTGGCCTCCACTCCCAGGCGAACAGAGGGAGGGCCCTGACACCCTGACACCCCTTAGCAGCTCCCCTCCCTCCCAGGGCAGCAGTGAGCCTGTCTCTCAGCAGGGGGAGGGACAGATATGCAGCCACCACCTACTCCTGGTGATCTCAGAGTTCCTGCCTCTTGGCACCAGCTTTGTACCTGGGCTGCACTGCATGTCTTCCACCTATGTCCCTCCTCTGGGCGTCCCCACAGCCCTCCAGGGGTATACTGCTGCTCCCTCACCCTCCAGATGATGACTCTGAGGGGCAACGCTCAGGCCCATGGCTAGGATTCAAACCCAGCCTGAGCTCTGCAGGGCTTTGCTTCACCTGTCTTCCATCCTGGCTCCCAACACTGTGCCAGGACCCAGCAGCTTCTAGTCAATGATGTGTGGGTGGGGTGGCTCAGGAGGATGGGTGCCCTGCCCTTCCCTCCTGGGGAGGCCCCTCGCCTGAGGGAGCTTGAGGCCAAGGCTGGACCTGGATGGAACATTCCAACGTCCCCCGTGGCAGCCACCTGCTTGTGCTGAGCTGCTGCCCCAGCCACCCCCTTACCCACGGTTCTGGAGACTGGAGTGGGCTCCCTCCTTCCCAGGGTGGGCACAGGGCTCTGAAGCCTTGGCAGGGAATCAACCAGCTTGGCCCATGTGCATCAGACCGGGGGTGCCACTACAGGTCCCCAGCAGGTGTAAGACCCAGGCGGGGTGATGGGAAAAAGAGGAGAGAGGAGGGAGTCGTAAACAGTTTGGGGCACTCAGTATCTCCTAAGTGACAAGAGGTGAAGAGGAGGGAGCAGAGAGCAAATGAGATGATGGAGAGAGAGGTCGTGAGGGGGTGAGCCCCTCTGGGCTTCACTCCAGTCTCCCCCCAACCCTGTCACCCCCACAGGCAAAAGCCAAGGCCCACGAACACCACATGGCTCTCAGTGGAGAGCTGGGATGGGAACCAGGTGTGTCTGGACTGGTTGCTTTCCTCCCGCGGCCCTGGAGCCTCTGCTGTGCATGGGGATGGAGCTGTGACCCTGTGGGGCTGAGGAGGCACCATCACAGATATCCAGGCAGCAGGCAAAAGTTCAACATTTCAACCCACTGACTGGCTGCTCTGCACTTCCAGATGCAGGGGAGCAGCACTCACACCTCAGCGTTGTCCCGGCCCTAAGTGTTCATTGTACCTTAAACAGGAGGGCACGCGACTGTGACATACCGGCTTTCCTTAGAAAAGTCTGCTGAGTCCAGGAGCCGCTCCTCTCTGGATCCCGATGAGTCTGAGCCCCACATTCACGCTGGGTCACCAAACATGACTGGCTCAACTGCCTCTCGTGAGCCCTACTTCCAAACTGACCTCCCAGCTGGTATGGCCTGGACACATGGCCTCCCAGCTGGCATGGCCTTTCCTGGCTTCCAGGAAAGGTTTGCTTTTCTCATGGAAAGGGGTAGAGTCTTCTGGTACCTTCTTCCCTGTGGAAGAGGCTGCTGACCAAGTTCTGCCATTTTCAGCAGGAGTAATGCTGGGGGGTTCGAGGGAGTCTCAGGCAGGAGCAGAGGTAGGAGATGGCACTGCAAAGGTCCTACTGGGGTGACCTGCAAGCAAGCACTGTCCCCAACGACTCAACCTGGTGGTCCCGGGACCACCAAAAACATTCTCCCATTAAGTGGGAGCCTCACAGTGGTTCTGGATACTTCCACAATGTAAGGAGCAAGCCTTGATGTAACTCACGTTCCTTTGTGGGGGGGGGGCAAGTTCCCCAGGAACTTGTAGCAGGAGAACTGGTCTTGTGCATCCTAGACCCCCCTAGTGTGAGGGACAGAGAGTCAAGGTCTAGGGCGATGGAGACACTGGTTCTGTCTGCAAAATCTCCACGTTGGTGTTTCTTGAAAATCTCCACCCACAGGGAACTCTGAGCTGGTGAGTCTCCCTGGGACCATTTAAATGATGAAAATGATTCTTTTTATGTTATTTGAAATTGGTGTCCTTGTAACTATACCCACTAGGCCCACTTTTGTTCCCTGGAGACAAATCCGGTCTCTGTGTCTCAAGGCACACAGAGGACATCTGGCATTGCCCACCTGCCATGTCTTTCAATATTTCCACATGAGGTTTCTGACTTAATAAATATAATTTGGGTCAGCGTCACGCAATATGCTTCACTTGGCTATCACACAAAACCCTTACAAGACTGTAAAGGCGGCTGGATGACTCCAATCATGCTGCTGAGCACGCTGGGCCCGCGTCAGCTGGCTGGTAAGTGGAGGGTCAGGGATCTGACCCTGGAGGGTCTGACTTCAGAGCCTGGGCACTTAATTAGCCACCGCTGGGTATGGCCTCTTTCTGGAACATCAATACCGAGGTCACATCCTTCAGTTTGCTGTTTGCTGAGATCCTTCGAGAAATGACAAGTCACACGGACCCGAGAGCAGCACCTCATGACGGCCTTGGTCGGCAGTGAGGGAGGAGAGGGGGGCCTTGGTCTGGGAGAGGGTTTTGCAAGGTCTGCGGGTCCATTCCAGCCCATCACCTGTGTTTGCATGGCCTGTGAGCCAACAGTCATTTTCATGGTTTTAAGTGGTTGGAAGAGAAACAAAAAATGAGTATTTCATGGGAATGAAAATCATAAAATTCAGATTTTAGTGTCCATAGAGCCACGGTCATTTTTTGTTGGTCTGCTCTGGCTGCCGTAAAAAAATGCTGTAGCCTGGCAGGGTGGGGAGTTGGCATAGGTAACAGACGTGTATTTCTCCCAGTTCTGGAAGGTGGAGGTCAAAGATGAAAGTGCCAGTGGATTCAGTGTCTGGAGTCGTGGTTCACAGCCATGCAGCTCTTGCTGTGTCCTCAGGTGGCAGGCTGCGAGCTTGCTGGGGTCTCATCGTCATCTTATAAGGGCACCAATCGCATCACCCTCATGACCTTCTGGAGTCCTAATCACCTCCCAAAGCCCAGCCTCCACATACCAGCACATTGGGGGAGGGGCAGCACTTCAAGACATGAATTCAACACAGCACATCCAGACCCAGCTTCTCCCCTCCCTGGCCTGTGCCCAATTTGCCTCTGGGCTCAGGTTTGGGTCTTTATCTCCTTCCGTATGCTGCTCAGCGCTGACCAGCAAGCATGCCCTTGGTCTCCATTGTTTTGTCTCTTGCATTTGGGCGCGTCGTGGGTGGTTTGGTGACTTTCCAGCCGGTCCTGGGGTTCTGCTGAGAGTTTTCATCTTGTGACATCGCAACCTCCCACCTGGGGATTGGGCACGCTAATCTACTTTAACAACCCGTACCCAGAAGGCAGCCCCACTTCAGTGCTGGTGTGACTTGTAGGATTCTATCCATCCCTGTCTGAACCTCACCATGAGGAGGAAGCAGCGGCCGGAGGGGCCCTTTGTTGATGTGGGTGCCACAAGTCACAGTGTGATGGGTTTTTGTTGGCGCGTGCTCAGCAATGCCGCCACTCAGCCAACAGTCCTCATGCGTCGTGTCATGTAGGAGAGGCCTTCCAGAGTCTAGGAATGCAAGCCTTCACGGTTGAAAAGCTCCTTGTGGTTTTTTTTGGAGGCACCTCCCCAGTGACATGCCATGCAGATTTCCCAAGCGTTCAAGATAGGCCACGTAAAAACACCTAATTGAGTCCAGGACTTGGTTCTATGGTCTTTTGAAGGGTTCCCTCCCCAGAAGGCCCCAGAGTGGGTGGATGCACTGCTATGGACATGGCTGGAGGCTTCAAAGGGCTCCACAGTGATTCACAGAACCCGGAGGGATAGCCCAGACTATGTCCTAGGGAAAGGGGTCTCTCAAGATCAAGGTCCCTCCAGGCCCTGCCCAGTGGGGTTCCGCCTGTTTCTCCATCTCAGATGGGCCTGGGGGGCCCCACCTGACCCCTGCGGGTCACTGGGAGGCCCCCTTTGCTTGGCTGGCTGTAGCTGTCCACAGGTGGCAGCTGCGCGTAACACATGCGTTCTCCTTTCACGGCGGGGTCAGAGTCTAGTAGTGTAACTCAAATATCCCTGCCCAAAACATGTTCCTCACATAAAAGAACCTAACATAATTACTGCAGAATCTTTTTTCTCCCCCAAACAACACCTCTAAAGCCCTAAACCAACATCGGCACAGACACACCACCAAACAAAACCCTATCACTGATGGCTGTCTTTAGGTGGACGGGATATTTGCCTAGGGTGCTTGAGCAGATGATGGAAAGCATCTAGGGGCAGGAGACCACAAGCTTGGGCAGGTCAGGGCCAGGGAGTCAATATTTTAGGCATTGTGGGCCAGTTGGTCTCTGGCAAAGCTGTGGGAAGGCAACTAGAGACAGCATGTGAATGAATGGGGGTGGCTGTTCCAATAAACCTTTATTTACAAAAAACAGGTGGTGGGCTGGAGTGATTTGCAAAACTCTCATCTATGACACTAAAAAAAGGTGACATCTGCTGTAAAGAAACTGAGAGACAAAAGTATGGACCCTCATGAGGTCCATGGCATTTGCAGCTCTGCTTTGCAGGGAGGTGGGGTAGCCTTAAGTGGGCGCGTTCTGGGTCAGGAAGGTCAGAGATGAGCTCACGTTGCCTGCAGGCCAAGCCCCGGCCCATGGCTTGGCAAGGGTGCCAGGGTGGAGGGTAGAGTCTAGAGGCTCATGTGCCTGGGGTTGTTATCTTGCTTTTACTTTGCTAGTAATTCTGATCTATCATCGGATTGCAGGCCTGATTAATCTGTTCCGGAATAAACATGTAAAGCCGTCCTCCTGGCCGCTCTCTGCGATGCCGCTCGCCGGGGACAGCTGGCCGAGGGACGCAGGCTGCTGCCTCCAATGCCGTACTATTTTTGGCTACTCTTTTTGCCTCATTTATTTTTGATTTGAGTTGCTCATACAGGCTGTACGTTCTCTTTCTCACTCCTGTGCTGAAATGAAATAAGCATAGTATATTTAAACCCTGCTTGTGTTGCTCATGATTAGTGCAGATGAGCCAGTGCACCTGGAGAGTGGCCTCTGCGGCAAGGCCGCCTGCCCTCTCGCTCCGGCCCTTGGTCTCTATGAAAACAGTAGGACAGAGACACCACTCCTTGCTCTCCTGGACACGGTGACCTGTCCAGTCCTGGGAAAAAGGTGGGGCCTTCAGGGTCCTGCCCTGAAACTGGACTTTGCGTGGACGGGGCCCAGGGACATCTGTGTGTCCTCTTAGTGGTGTGGGGGGAAGATGTGCCAGATGCCACCTGAGCAGCAGCCCTGGGCTGCCTCATTTTCTGGTGACCAGTGAGAGCTGCCAGTGAACCAGGTGGGGAGATGGGCTTTCATACATTCATTCACTCAGTCCTAGCCCCCAACCCTGAGAGGGTGGTACTGTTCATGACTAGCCAGTGGTGCCAGCTGAGGAAACAGGCCAGGGCATCTCAGCTGGCCTGCCCAGTCACTCAGCAGATGGCAGTACTGGGAATCGTTCCTCTAAATCAGAGCCCTGTGCAGCCACCGGAGGGTGGGTGACCAAAGGCCTTCTTTTTAGGGACGAGCTTATCTATGCTTCCCGCTGTCTCTGGGCAGCGGGGTGAGGACTGAGGAGTGGTCTAGGGCAGGGGCAGGGCTCTTGTCAGGAGGTCAGGGATCGGTCCAGGTGCAAGCTGGAGAGCCGTGGGCTAAGGTGGAGGAGGCTGGCGGAGTCAGGAGGTTGAGACCAAGGGGCTGACTGGAGGGTGGATGTTTGTGCAGGGACCTTGGAGAAGAAGTGCCAGTTCCCGAGACAGGGGAATGGGTGGGTGCAGCAGGTTGGGGGAGTCCCGGAGCTGGGTGCTGGCTGCGTCTGCTCCGAAGTGCTCACTGGATGTCCAGCTGAGAGGATGATGGTCTTCCACTGTTGTGCTCCTCCTCAGGCTGTGGCCAGAGCAGCTTCCTCTCCTTAACCACAGGGCCTTTGTACATACTGTCCCTCTGCCGGGGATGCTCTTCCTTTGCGTCTTTGCTCCAACATCACATCTTTAGAGACATCATCCTGGACAGCTCACTCCAAAGTGTCCTGTCCATCATGTGAGCACATGGATTTCCTTCAGCACTTGTAACTGTCCCCCAGCTAGAGGCTGAGATCCAGTGGCAGGATTGGGTCTGCCTCGTTCCCTGTGGAACCCCTCGTGCCAGGACAGACCTCTGCTGAATGCACGAGTGTGTCATGCTGCTCAGGAAAGGCAGAAATTTCCTTCTTGTTAACACAGACTCCCCATGAGGCTGTGCCATGCAGAGTGGTGAGGGGCAGCATGAGCAGGTCGTCTCCTGGTGGCTCCTCCAAGGGACAGGCAGGCCATCCTACAGCCGTGGTGGCCTCCTTCAGGGGGCTGCACAATCCTGACCAGGATCTCAGGTAGAGCC